GAAGCCAAGAACCCACAGCGCTCCATCCCCATTGGCATCATCGTGTCCCTCCTCATCTGCTTCGTGGCTTATTTTGGGGTCTCTGCAGCCCTGACCCTCATGGTGCCCTATTTCCTCCTGAACAAGAAGAGCCCCTTGCCTGAGGCTTTCAAGGCAGTGGGCTGGGAGCCCGCCCGGTACGCTGTTGCTGTTGGCTCCGCCCGTGTGGCTGGCTCCATCCCTGGCATGGCATAAGAACCAGCAGCACGTGTCCTGCCTGGACTGGGGGTTCTGCTGTCCTGTTCCTGGCACAGAGCTGGTCCCATCCCTGTGGGCAGCTCTCCTGGCAGCCTCTGAATCATCTCTTCTTCCCTTGGCAGCTTGTTGGGCTCCATGTTCCCTATGCCTCGTGTGATCTATGCCATGGCGGAGGACGGGCTGCTCTTCAAGTTCCTCTCCAGCATCAACAGCCGCACAAAGACCCCTCTGTCAGCCACCATCACCTCGGGGCTCCTCGCAGGTACAGCTCCTGGCTGCTGCTTCACACTTGGCCTTGCAGTGGTCTAGAGTTGCGCTCATGCCACATGTCCTCATTGCAGCGGTGATGGCCTTCCTGTTTGACTTGAAGGACCTGGTGGACCTCATGTCAATTGGCACGCTGCTGGCTTACTCCCTGGTGGCAGTGTGTGTGCTCATCCTCCGGTGGGTACCTCCTTGCTTGTGCTGGTGCTCGGGGTCCATGCACCTTGTGTTGAGCCCAGGCTTGTGCCCACAGCTTTCTCCTGGGGGATGCAACCTGGGGAAGTATCAAGCCCCCAGGGTGAAGGTCACAAGAGGTGGCTGTAGTGAGGTGGGGTTGGTCTCTGCTCCCAAGGAACAAGGGACAGGTCAAGAGGAAACGGCCTCAAGCTGCACCAGGGCAGGTGGAGCTGAGAAACAATTCCTTGCCCAGAGGGTGCTCAGGCATTGGAACAGGCTGGCCAGGGGTTTCTACCGTGTAAGTGTTCACAGCCGGTTTAGCCGAGGCCTCAGTGCCAGGGGGTAGTGGTGGCCTTGGCACTGCCGGGAATGGTTGGACTGGATGAGCTTAAAGGGCTTTTCCATCTTAGTTGATTCTATGACTCTAAGAGCCTGCACAATGTCTCTGGGCGCATCCATGGAGTGCCTGTCACAGGGCTGCTGCCAGAGCAGCACCTAGGGCTGGAGGAGCAGGAGGAGTACAAGGGTGCTGCCCACTGTCCCCTTAGGCTCTGCTGCAGCTTGTCCCTTCTGCTCAGGTACCAGTCCGGGCAGCTGAACTCCCCGAAGGCCATGGAAATGCTGGAGCAGAACGGGAATGAGGAGGAGAGGGTGATCATGAACCCGACCATCACCACTGCCAG